CTTCCTATCCAGTTTGTAGCCCATTTATCTCCTTTAGTTGTCTAATTTCTCTAGCTAGGACTTCAAGTACTATGTTGAAGAGATATGGAGACATTGGGGCAGCCTTGCCTTGTCCCTGATATCAGTGGGATTGGTTTAAGTTTCTCTCTATTGAGTTTGATGTTGGCTATAGGCTTGCTGTATATTGCCTTTACTATGGTTAGGTATATGCCTTGTATCCCTGATATCTCCAAGACTTTAAATATGAATGGGTGTTGGATTTTGTCAAATGCTTTTTTGACATCTAAGGAGATGATCATGTGGTTTTCTCCTTCTGTTTGTTTATATGGTGGATGACATTGATGGATTTCCATATATTGAAACACTCTTGCATGCCTGGGATGAAGCCTACTTGGTCCTGGTGGATGATATCTTTTATGTATTCTTGGGTTCAGATTGTAAGTATTTTATTGAGTACCTTTTGCATCAATGTTCATAAGAGAGATGTAGCACATGATAGTTCAGTGTCCAAGTGGGTTACATAGTAATGGGAAGAGGGACTGCCTCTGACATAATCTGATAGGCCTGCTCTTTGATCACCTCCCCTTGAGGGGTGAGCAGCCTTACCAGGCCACAGAAGATGACAATGCAGCCACTCCTGATGTGATCTGATAGACTAAGATCAGAAGGAAGGAGAAGAGGACCTCCCCTATCAGTGGATTTGGGGATGCCTGAGGAAGGGGGAGGGAGGGTGGGATCAGGAGAGGAGGAGGGAGGGGCTTATGGGGGAATACAAAATGAATAAAGTGTAATTAATAGTAAAAAAAAATAAAAAAATAAAAACATTAAAGAAATGTGAAAAAAAAGAGAGATAGGTCAGAAGTTCTCTTTTTTGTTGGGTCTTTGTGTGGTTTAGGTATCAAGGTAACTGAGGCTTCTTAGAATGAGTTTGGTAATGTTCCTTCTGTTTCTATTTTGTGGAATAGTTTGAAGAGAATTGGAGTTAGCTCTTCTCTGAAAGTCTGGAAGAATTCTGCGCTGAAACCATCTGGCCCTGGGCTTTTTTTGGAAGGGAGACTTTTGATTACTGCTTCTATTTCCTTGGGAGATATGGGACTATTCAATCTTTCTACCTGATCTTGACTTAATTTAGGTAGATGAAATCTATCAAGAATATTGTCCATTTCATTTAGATTTTCAAATTTTGTGGCACATAGGCTTTTTTAGTAAAACCTAATGAATGTTTGGTTTTCCTCAGTGTCTGTAGTTATATCCCCCTTTTCATTTCTGATTGTGCTGATTTGAAAACTTTCTCTCACCTTTTTGTTAGTTTGGCTAAGGGCTTTTCTATCTTGTTGATTTTCTCAAAGAACCAGCTCTTGGTTTTATTGATTCTTTGAATAGTTTTATTTGTTTCTAATTTGTTGATTTCTGCCCTGAGTTTGATTATTTCCAGCTGTCTGCTCCTCTTGGCTGTATCTACTTTTTTTTTTTCCCTAGGGTTTTCAGTTGGGCCATTAAGTTGCTTGTATGAGATGTTTCAAATTTCTTCTTGAAGGCACTTAGTGTTATGAGCTTTCCTATTAGCACTGCCTTCATTGTGTCCCATAAGTTTGGGTATGTTGCGCTTTTCATTTTCATTGAATTCTAGGAAGTCTTTCATTTCTTTATTTATTCCTTAATCAAGCTGTCATTGAGTAGTGAGTTGTTCAGTTTCCATGTTTGTGCAGGCCTTTTGCTGTTTCTGTTGTTGTTGAGGTCCAGCTTTAGATCATGATGGTCAGATAGGATGCAAGGGATTATTTAAATCTTCTTGTATCTGCTGAGGCTTGCTTTGTGACAAACTATATGATCTATCTTAGAGAAGGTTCCATGAGGGTGCTGAAAAGAAGGTATACTCATTTGATTTGAAGTGGAAAGTTCTGTAGACCTCTATTAGGTCCATTTGATTTAGGGCCTCTGTAAGTGCCCTTGTTTCCATGTTTTGTTTCAGACGAGATGACCTGTCCCTTGGTGAGAGTGGAGTGTTGAAGTCTCCCACTATTAAGGTGTTGGGATCAAGTGTGATTTCAGCTTTAATAATGTTTCATTTACAAATGTAGGTGGTCTTGTATTTGAGGCATAGATGCTCAAAATTGTGATGTCATCCTGTTGAAATTTTCTTTTAATGAGAAGGAAGTGCCCCTTCCCATCTTTTTTGATTAATTTTTGTTGAAAGTCTATTTTATTTGATATTAGGATAGCTACCCCAGCTTGTTTTCTGGGTCCATTTGCTTGAAAAACATTTTCCAGCCCTTTCTCTGAGGTATTGTTTATCTTTTTCACACAGGTGTGTTTCTCTTGGATGCAGAAGAATGTTGGATCCTGTTTCCACAACCAACCTGTTAGTCTGTGTCTTTTTATTGAAAATTTGAGTCCATTGATGCTGATAGATAATAGTGTCCAATGTTGTTAGTTCCTTTTATTGTGGAGTTGGTGGTCTTACTATGATTCCTTGCTTTTTTTTTTTTTAATTTTGTTGGGAAATTATCTGTATCCTATATTTTCTTTGGTGTGGTTATTTTCATTGGATTGGAGTTTTCCTTATAGTATCTTCCATAGGGCTGGTTTGCTGTGTAGATAATGCTTAAATTTAGATTTACCCTGGCATATTTTTTTCTCCATCTCTGTTGATTGAAAGCTCTGCTGGGTATAGTAGTCTGGGTTGGCATCTGTGTTCCCTTAAAGACTGCATGACCTCTGCCCATACCATTCTGGCTTTCATAATTTCTGATGAGAAGTCTGGTGTGATTCTGATTGGTCTACCTTCATGTGTTACTTGACCTTTTTCCCTTGCTGACTTTAATATTTTTTCTTTGTTTTTTAGGTTTAGTGTTTTGACTATGATGTGACGTAAAGTATTTCTTTTCTGGTCTAGTCTATTTGGTGTTCTGTAGGCTTCTTGTATGTTTATGGACATCTCTTTCTTTAAGTTGGGGAAATTTTCTTCTATGCTTTTCTTAAAAATATTTTCCAGTCCTTGGAGCCTGGAGTCTTCTTTTTCATCTATTCCTATTATTCTTAGGTTTTGTCTTTTCATGGTGTCCTTGATTTCTTGGATGTTTTGTCTTTGGGACTTTCCTGATTTTATCTTTTCTTTGAGGGAGGAATCAATTTCAGCATGTGAATCTTAAGCACCCGAGATTCTCTCTTCCATCTCTTGTATTCTATTGGTGATGCTTACCTTTGTGGTTCCTGATCTTTTCTCTAAGTTCTCCAGTACCAGGGTTTTCTCTGTTTGTGTTTTCTTTATAGATTCTAATTCTGTTTTCATACATTGCATCATTTCCTTCATCTGAGTGAATGTAGCTTCTATTTTTTTGTTTGTGTCCTCTCTATGTCTCTAATTGTTCCTGTACGTGGGCAGTTATAGTCTTATTTCTTTGAGAGCTCTGTTCATTTACTCTTTTTGTTCCTCTAATAACTGCATAAGCATAGCTTTAAAGTCATTTTACTGTGTTTCTGCTGAATTAAAATATCCATTGATTTTGGAGTTTGCTGGTGGGGCCATGCTGTCCTGATTTTTGTTGGGTGTGTTCTTATGGCTACCTTTGACCATTTGCTTATATGTGATCTTTATTGTTTTTTCCTTGAGTCTGAACTTCAGACTGGAACTGTCTTTCTCTGGTGTCTGGAGAATTCTTCAGGAAGATCAGGGAGGTCCAGTGGTTTGAGAGTGTGTGTTGGTGCTTCAGTTGTATCTGAGGGAGGAAAAGCTGTTGGCATAGATTCATTATTGTGGGGAGTGGGGGGGGGGGTGCAGGCACGCTCGAGCACATGTGTGCGCCTGTAAGAGTGTCTTGAAGGGGAGTGCTAGAGAGTGTAGGTTCTTGGGATGTGAGAGTTGGGAGCAAGCACAGGAGGGTGTGTGGATGCTAACGCAGTTAGCAAGCAAAGATTGCGGGCACAAAGCGCCTGGGCAGGTTTCCTGACTGCCCAGTGGTCTCCAGTCTGTGGAGGGCTCAGCAGGCTGTACTCTGAGGTCTGTGGCTGACTCTGCAGGTGGGACAAGTACTCTGTTGTGGGCTTGTGTGCCCAGCCCTGTGCTCTGTGCTTGAATCTGTGAGCACAGCAGGCTGGGCTCTGCTCTCTGAATTGGGAAGCGCTATGTGCTTCCTCTGCTGCCTCCTCCTCAGGCAAGGCTGGAGATTGAAGTTCGCGGGGGAAATGCCAGGGGTTTGAATGTTCTCAGTCTCAAATCTCAAGAAGGGAGATCTGTGCTTGGAGCAGGCAACACTGTGTTCAGGCAAGCTGTGTGCACTGCGGGGTGCCTCCTCTGCTTCAGCTGCTAGTTACAGTACCTCTGCTTCTGCCTCCCTGTTGGCTGCACCTCCACTTCTTCCTCTGCTTCAGGCTTGGCTACCTCTGCCATTGCTTCTGCCCATTACAGGGAAGTGCCCAGGAACTGATTCCCCAGGAGAAGTCCACAGAGATGTCCGCAGTTGACATGTGTCCTATTGGACTCAGATCAGGGTTTGTCAGCCTTCTCTCTGGACTCTGCATACCGTTGTTTTGGGTTCCACAGCCCCTCAACTCACCAATTCAAAGTTTCAGCTCCTCTGAATATGGTGTGCTCTGGTCACTGCCATCTTGGATTCCCCCCCTTTCCATTCTTATTTGGACTTGTATGGTTGAGAATCTTTTAGATATATGAACATACTGTTTTTAAATTGGACAGATATGACTAATTTTATGTTATCTGTAAGAGTAAGGATTTATTTGTAATTTTAATTTTTTTATGATAAACCATTAGAGAAACTTTATAATATAGTATGTTTTTGCACTGACAACAGAATGCCATTGGCCTTTAATGTGCCTTATTTTAGTTTTCTTGGAAAAATTGCACTGTTTTCTTTTCAAAATTTCTAAGCAGTTGCTGTTAAATTTAATTCATGAATATTACTCTTGTGTTTATAATAAAGCTAGATTGCATTTATTCCAGTATTGTTCTTCTAATGAATATCACATACTTTTGATTTCAGCTCTTACTGCACTGCTCACTGGGTTCTCAGTCTCATCACTGAAGTCAACAATAGCTCTGCTCAGTGTCATGTGAAACTTCCAACAGATGCAGCCCACCTCACTCTGCTAATGGTATTGTAAAACTACCTGCTTTCTGACATTCATTTTCACGTTTTAAATGTTTGTGTATAAAAATCATTTGGAATTTTTTATTTTATCACTTAAATTAGAATTAAAATTAGATTTGCTTATATATTCATACTTCCTGTTTTCTATACACAAGTTAATGCCCTTTACAAAACATACAAATTCCTTTCTTTCCTTTAAGCATCACACAATTAAAAATATAATATCCAGTACTAATATTCTCTTATAACATCTTCAAGGATGCTATTATTTCTTTTGTCAAAGATCTCTCATATTCACCTCAAGTCCAACCAGAATTCATATACTTTAAGTTTAGTGCAAGCAGTCTAATGGACTCTTTCTTCTCTTCCATTCTCTCTCCCTCTTTATCTTTCTCTAATCTCACCAACTAGAGCAGAGAAAAAAAAAAGAAAGAAAGAAAATTAAAAAAACATCAAAAACCCCAATAAAACAAAAAAAATCAAATATCAAAACTAAGTAAACAACAATAACACTCTCTGAAATAAACAATGAAAGCAAAATAGCATGTGTTTTGTGTTGGTCAACTACTCCTATTTCAATGGCCTGGTGTGGAATATGTTTGATATAATCAGTGACTCTAGTGGAAAAAATTGGTTTTCCCTTTCCTTTCAACAGATATATTGCAAATTGCTCCTTAGTTAGGGGTTGTTCTTTGTGTCTGCTTTCCCATCTCATAGCTGTAATTTTTTTCTGGTTTGAACCTATGCAATTTTGTATCTGCTGGAACATTCTCTGGGAGTTCCTGTGTGTATCAATTCTGTTATTTGAAAAACTTCATTTTTTTGTAGTCATTTTCCCCCTCTGACTCTGATTTTTATGCTTCCTCTTCCAAATAGAAGCCAAAGCTTGAGGAGAGAGGTTTAATGAAGGCCAATTTAAGAGCTAGTGCTTCAGTGCTGCTCATTCTCTGTATATGCAGTTTTTGAGTGTCTCCTTGTTACTTCCCATCTAGTGCAAGAAGAGGTAGTCTTGACAAGGGTTTAACAGTGATCTGACTGATTAACAGATTCAGGATCCTAGGGGTAAGTCCAATCTTTGTTACCAGAATATCCAGCAATCTAGTTAATGACCAACCAGCTATCCATCAATGACAAATATAGTAGCAGAGCCCAACAGTAGCAGCAGCAGAAGAAGGGGGGAGAAATATCCAACGTAGGCCCTCTCCAGGTGCTTTAATTTATACCCTCTCCAGAGTCCCCAGAATTAAACTGTCTTCACCTGGGATAACTCATGTACCTCCTAGAGCATGAGACAACCATATTTAATGACTGGAGACAAGCTGAAGCAGCCCCATATCACATGCCAGGGATTAAAACAAAAACATATAGACATAACTTAAATAAGATTTTAAAAACACCAAAATTCTCACTACAGATGTACTCAGACATGAATGGAGGCTTTTTATTATAAAGCTGTGATTGAATCTAAAGCAGCAAGATACATGATCAAACCCGAGGCATTGCAGAATCACCCCCAGAATGGGTGATTCTGTCTGTTCTCAGTTGAGCCAGACCTCAGGGTTTATTGCACTTTTCTGTCTTCAAACTATCCATCTTCCTATTTCTGCTGTGATATTAAAAAGAGGGTGCCAGGTGAGATATACAGCAGCTCTGATAGAATTCTCACAGCTCACAGCAGGTTTTGATATCCCTTCCTAGATCTGAGTTCTCCTCATGATTGGTCTCTAATCTATTAATTTCCCATATGTACTCCATCAAAAATAGGCAATCAGAAGTAATATAAATTCTTCTACATCATTTTTGCCAGGTGGGCTTCTGGGTAGTTCTACACTTTAGCCAGGGGCTGACTATAAGCTTTCCCCCAGAGTAGGAGGACTGCTCCTGTAAACTACAGGAAGCAGAACCAAATGAAACACGGCATATGCAGGGACTTGCTATGTTTCTTCACACTCCTGTTGAATAACCTGCTCCTGTTTCTTGTGCAGAAAATCTGTTCCTTCTTCTGAACTCAGTGCTCCTGTTTCAAGGTTTGCCATTCCTGTCTCAGTCTTGGATCCTGCATCATTTGCAAGAAAAATGATTTTTCTTCAGGTATCAGTATCTGACAGTAACCAGGGTTGTGCTACTCTTTATAATTACATTGGGGGACACACTGAAAAAAAATTGCTATGGCAGGGAGAGTTCTTTTTTGCACTGGGGGATACTTACAATCTTTGATGTGTATAAACTGTAGACACTATCTTAACTGTTATCCAAAGTCCTGTGTGGACAAAGACATAAAAGAGAGAAATTATACTTGTTATTCTGTTGCTATAAGGGTCTCAGAGGTTCAACGCTCCAATCACATTTCTACAATCAGGTATAAATTGTCATTACACTTTGACAAATAATAATTGTTAAGGTTTTTCTTATCTTCTTTGTCTTCACATTCCTTTCTATGTGGTCAGGCAATATATGAGTCTTTTGAGAAAAAAAAAATGATGGTATTTGATAGGTATTACATGTTCTTTTTAAAATTTTATTAGTATTATTATTATTTTACAATTTATTCAATTTGTATCCTGGCTGTGTACCCCTCTCTCATCTCCTCCCAATCCCACCCTCCTTCCCTCTTCTCCTCCTATACCCCTCCCCTTTTCCACTGAGAGATGAAGTCTTCCTCCCTTCTATTTGAACCTAGCCTACCAGGTCACATCAGGATTGGTTGCATTGTCTTCCTCTGTGCCCTGGCAAGGCTGCACTCTCCCCCAAATAGAAGTGATCAGAGAGCCTGTCACTGAGTTCATGCCAAAGAAAGCCCCTGCTCCTCTTATTATGGAACCCACGTGGAGACTGCGTCTATGGGCTACATCTGAGCCAGGGTTTTAGGTCCTCTCCTTGCATTGTCCTGCAGTAGGGTATCACTCTCTGCAGGTCAACTAGGGCTCAGTTTTTTTTTTTTTTTGGCTCTGTTAGTCTCCTTTTGGAGATCCTGTCCCCTCCAGGTCTTTCTATCAAACCCTTCTTCCGAAAGATCCCCTGCACTCTGCCCAAAGTTTGGCTGTAAGTCTCAGCCTCTGCTTCAATACCTGGATCAGTAGAGTCTTTCAGAGGCCATCAGCGGTAGGCTCCTGTGGTGTTCCTGGTCTTCTCTTGCTTCAAATTTCTATTGCATTTTTCCTTTTGAATGAGGATTGAGTATCTTCCCTAGGGTTTTCTTTACAGTTTAACTTCTTTAGGAATATAGATTTTAGTATGTGTATCCTATATTATATTACTAATATCTACTTATGCATGAGTTTATACCATGTGTGTTTTTCCACTTCTGAGATACCTCACTCAAGATGATCTTTTATAATTTCTACCATTCGCCTTCAACTTTCATGATTTCCTTGTTTTTAATAGCTGAGTAGTATTCCATTGTGTTAATGTAACAGTTTCTGTATCTATTCTTCCATTGAGAGACATCTAGGTTATTTCCAGTTTCTGGCTATTACGAATAGAGCTGCTATGAACATGGTTGAGCAAATGTCTTTGTTGTATACTTGAACATATTTTAGATATATGCCTAGGAGTGGTATAGCTGGATCTTGAGGAAGCACTATTCCTAATTGTGTGAGAAAGTGCCAGGTTGATTTCTAAAGTGACTATATAAGTTTACATTTCCACTAGCAATGGAGGAGGGTTTCCCTTTCTCCACATCCTCTCCAGCATGCCTAAGTGGATCAAAGACCTCAACATAAAACCAGACACACAAAACCTGTTGGAAGAAAAATTGGGGAAGATCTTGAACTCATTGGCACAGGAGACAACTTCCTGAAACATATAACAACAGCACAGACTCAAGGATCAATAGTTAATGAATGGGACCTCATGAAACTGAAAAGCTTCGGTAAAGCAAAGGACACTATTGTCAGAACAAAATGTCAGCCTACAGACTAGGAAAGGACCTTCACCAACCCTATATCTGATAGAGGGATAATATCTAGAATATCAAAAGAATTTAAGAAGTTAAACACCCATATGTACAAAATATGCTCAAGTATACAACAAGGACAGTTACTCAAACATGTTTGTAGCACCTTTATTTGTAATAGCCAGAATCTGGAAAACCCAGATGTTCCTCAGTGGAGGAATGGATACAGAAATTGTGGTACATTTACACAATGGAATATTACTTGGATATTAAAAACAGGAAAATCATGAAAGTTGAAGGCGAATTGTGGAAACTAGAAAACATCACGCTGAGTGAGGTATCCCAGAAGGAGAAAGATACACATGGTATATACTCACTTATAAGTGGATATTAGACATATAATATAGAATAGAAATACTAAAATCTGTTACACCTAAAGAAGCTAATCAAGAAGGAGGATCCTGGGTAAGATGATCAATCCTCATTCAGAAAGGCAAATGGAATAGACATCAGAAGAGCGTGAAAACAAGGAACCAGATAGGAGCCTAGTCACAGAGGGCCTCTGAAAGGGGCTACCCAGCAGGGTATTAAAGCAGATGCTGAGACTCATAGCCAAACTTTGGGCAGAGTGCAGGAACTCTTATGAAAAAAGGGGGTGATAAGAAGACTGGATGGGACTGGAGCTACACAAAAAGAGCAACATGGCCAAAAAAATCTAGGCACAGGAATCTTTTCTGAGACTGATACTCCAACTAAGGACCATGCATGGCAATAACCTAAAACCCCTACATATATGTAACCCGTGACAGCTCAATCAGTAAGTGTGTTCCCTAGTAATGGGAACAGGGGCTATCTCTGACATGAACTCAGTGGCTGGCCCTTTGATTACCTCTCCCTGAGGGTAGTATGCACCCTTGCCAGGCCACAGAGGAAGACAATGCAGACAGTCCTGATGAGTCCTGATAGGCTAGGATCAGATGGAAGGGGAGGACAAACTCCCCTAATAGTAAACTGGTGAACTTGTCAAGGGAGGTGAAGAGGGAGGGACAGCTGGATTGGGAGGGGATGGGAGAGGGAAGGAGACACTGCTATTATGCAAAGTTAATAAACTATAATAAATAAAATAAATTTAAAAATATAT